AGGGAGAATAAATGGGGAGTTGGCTAAGCAGTACAAGGCGCAACAAAGCAGAAAAATCTCTCTTGACTCCATACTTGCATTTGGATCCCTCATCAAACAATGTGTTTATAAAGAGATGTCTTTTAAAAACTGTTACTTCTCAGTTTCCTCCAGCAGTCTTCTTTCATTCCTGTTCATCTTTCAAGTACCACTCCTTTCCTTTTAAAAAACCCAAATGCTCTCCTTGACTCAAGATGTTAATTTTAGGACAAAAAACCCACAGCAATAAGGTTACAAAATACCTTGCATTTAGATTATATTTGTAGGGATATCACAACACTGAATGTATGAATTTCAGAGTCCCATGTCTCACAGAAATTCTTAGTATGGCTTGTGCTCTTACAGCACGTGATAAAGGCAAATGCATTTTTGTGTGATAGATAGATAGATAGATAGATAGATAGATAGATAGATAGACACACAGATAGATATTAACTGAACAAAATGCATATCATCCCTTATGGAAGAGTGCTAAAACAACTTTAACAATTTGAAAATATTAGTTCAGCTGTAATCATTAGTACTATCTTGATCTGTAAGCAGGACAAATCAGTTTCTTCTAATGATTATTACCTTTCTGGATCTTAACCTGTATCTGTTTTTTAAAACATGTTGTTTCCAAGACAATTAAGAACTGGATGGTAAGAACTAGCACAGAAATGTAGAACATTAAAATGAACTATTTCACAAATACAAAAGAAGAGACAGCAGAAAATCAGAGAATCTATTTAAATATTTATTTAGAGATGTCAGCCTGAGGACAAATGACCTTATTACATTTCAGTAAATGAACTTATTGCATTTCAATAATTGTATTTGTTCTCTCCTTTTAATTGCACCTGGGAATACAAAACATGATGCAACTGCACCTGACTGGATAGCAATAATGGACAGAGTGGTGATAAAATTTTCCAAACATGACCTTCCTTCTCCAGCAGACAGATTTACAGAAGTGCAGCCCAAAGAAACAACTACTTTTTAGATTTCTTTTCCACTGGAATGTTTCTCTTTTCTGAGCAAACCAGGCAGAAAACAAGAAGAGAAAACCAGTGGCAGCTTTTTAAGAAGGACTTGCTTTGTTAGCTGTCACTAATTTACTACCTGTGTATGTTTCTGTGCCCTCAAGCAAGCAGACTACAAGGTTCTGGGTTTAAAAAAAAAATAGATGATACTTCACATTCCAGTACAGTAAGAGACTCAGTAAACATCAAATCAATTTGCTAACTAATTAACGCCTTCAATATATTTATAATGAACTGTCAGTTTTCTGTGGCTTTTTGTTGCTCTTTTTTCTTCAGAAGAGGAAAATGAGAACCATGGAGTTGAAGTATGCTTCCAGGCATTGTCTCCCATGAAATCCCCATGTGTTACCAGAGTGTCTAAGGCAGAATTCAACTTATTCTACAAGAGAGGGAGTTTTCAGCAGAGCATTTGGTTGGAAAGATTAACTCCCTGAACAATTTTCTCATGTAGTCTTTAACTGCTTTGGTCTGCTGGTCAGACTAGCCCATGCCAAACCCTGCTGTCTCAGTGAGGTTTCACACAAGTGCATGAAGGGCCCAAACAACTCTTCCTAGAATTTAAAGGTTATCAGTTTCCTATTTCTTTTAATTAGTTATCATGTATATACATGCAGGGCGTGTAGAAAAATGTGATTTATTTTGATCCATTATTACTTTGGATTTTTATTTTAAATAATGTGGGGAGAACTTAGAATTTTAGGAAGACATTCTTTCAAGATGCATTCAAAGCAAAAGAAATAAACAAAAATTATTTGAATGGGCCTATAATGTGAAAAAAACCCCAAACATTTTGTGTTGACATCAAAATAGTTAAGAAGCGGGACAAAAACAAAGCTATGTGTGTGGTATTTTCTGAGCTCCCCGGATGGAGGAGGAATTGATGAATCTGACCCCATGTTCTTAAAAGGCTAATTTATTATGTTATTTTATATTATATTAAAGAATACTATACTAAAACATAGAGGAAGGATACAGACAGAAGGTTTAACAAGATACTACTGAAAAACCTGTGACTTTCCCTTCCAGGGTCCACCACAGCCTGACCATGATTGGTCATTAAGTCAAAACAATTCACATGTTGGATAAACAATCTCCAACCACATTTCAAAGCAGCAAAACACAGGAGAAACAAATGAGATAATATAGTTTTCCTTTTTCTCTGAGGCTTCTCAGTTTCCCAGGAGAAAAAATCCTGGTGAAGGGATTTTTCCAGAAAATATGACAGTGATAATATGTAATTTTTGTATTTTTCACTACTGACACAGATCAAGGCTGAGTCCTAAAGAAAGGTTCATTCAAGTTGTCCTAGCATGGCTGTAACAGAGATGAAAAACACCGAAGCAGATGTGGGGAGAGTAAGCCTTAACTGACAAAAACAGGCTGTAATTCCTGTTTAAACCCTGGAGCTGGAGATCACCTCACCCATGACTGCTTGGTCGAAGGCAATGAGGACAGAGTTACTCAGTTCACTGCAATTTTTCTAGGACTATACCATCATTAACTATTTTGACAAATGAGAGAGAAATGTATTATGACAAGATTGAGGGCGAAACAGAATGGCTACAACTGCGAACACCGTAATCATTTGTCTTAGTGACAGGAAAAGGGAGCTACGGCAATTGACAGGAAATAAATGGAGTCAGCAGGGTTCTTTAACGTGGGATGAACTGCTGTGTGCAGTGAGAAAGGCAAGAACCCACGGAAAGGAGCTAAGACAAATAAAGAGGGGCCAACAGCAGGTGATCAAGCAGATGGAAGTCAGTGGGACTTCTCCGCAGCCATGCAGAAGTAACCCAAGGAGAGAACTGACATCCAAAGGAAGAAAGGGCAAGGAGCAGCATGCTGACAGCCACACGGGCTGTCACTAGAGGCAGCAAAAAGGCTAAGTGGGAGAAGCCAAACTGCATCCCTGTATCTGCACTCTCAAGTGACAGTGGATGAAGAGCAAGGACGCAAGTACAGCCTGGAGACAGCGCTTGCAAAGCTCAGCAGCAGGAAAGCTTGGATCTGGACAGCCATCACATGAGCCCAGCAGGTCAGGAGGCTGAGCAGGCTGACAGGGTGTAGAATCCCAGAAGATGACAGGATAATGTGTATGTCTCAAAAACGATAGCTGGATAGCAATGGAGCCAACCAAGGATTGTTTGCACTAACAGATGAGGATTGCTGGTGTCAATGCTCTGTGAGAAAGGAGAAGATGTGGCTGGAGACAGGGGCCATGCAGAGGGAGGGCAGCACTCTTCCTGGACTAACAGCCTTGTTGTAGTTCCTGGAGATAAGCCCAACACAGTATCACACAAGCATGGGAATGAGGGCAAGATGTGAGCATGGGCTGTGGGAGGAGATCAAGACCATCAAAGTTCCTTGAACCTGTGAAAAATGCGTATTTTATGATTGGCTTTTCACAAACATTAAAATTAATATTATATGTGTTATGTTAGAAAGTCATGCTGCATTAATTTTCTTAAGTAGTGTGTTAAATATAGTTTTAGGTTATAACATCATGTTAAAATAGAAACTATGCTATCTAAGATACCTTTTTTAAAGAGAGGACTCACATCGAAATAGCACCTACAGGACACCTAAATCTTTCAGAGAAAAATAATTTATAGGTCTCTTATCGAGTCCTTTCCGTCTTGCTCAGCCCTGAAGACGCTGTTAGGATTCAGAGGAAGAAGTTGACACTGACCAAACAGAATCCTTAGTTTGAATGGAATTTTGGCATCATGTATGAGGTGTAGGAATATGCAACAGGCTATTGCTTTTAAGGGGTAATCCTCTGTTAACAGGTGTCCTTTTTCAGGCTTCTGCTGCCCAGAGAGAGGTACCTGGACTGTCTGTAACTCTTTGCTTTTCTTATCTCATATTGTCCTATTCCAAATTGTCCAAATTATTATTACTTTAATTATATAGCTATTTTTATAACCATTTTATTACTATTAAACTTTTAACATTTTAAAAACAAGTGGTTGGCGTTTTTCACAAAGCTCTCTGAGCTATTTCCCAAAAGATCTGAAAGAGCAGACTGTGCATGATAATTAATTTGCATAGAAAGCGAGAAGCCTGCCCATGAAAAGGTACCCCCTCCAAACCTGGGTAGCACCTCATTTTTCTCTTTTCTCTCATTTCTTAATTTTCTTTTCCTCTCTCTGACCCCTCACCCCCTCTAATTCATCTTGTGAAAAACGCCAATCACTTGTTTTTAAAATTTTAATAGTTTAATAGTTGTTCAACAAAATTATTATAAAAATAGTAATACACATAGAGTAATAATAATTTGGACAATTTGAATTAGGACAATATGAGACAATAGAAACAAAGAGTTACAGACGTCAGGGTACCTTTTTCTGGGCAGCATAAGCCTGAAAAAGGACACCCGTTAATAGAGGATTAACCCTTTAAAGCAATAGCCTGTTGCATATTCATACACCTCATACATGATACATAAATTCCATTCAAAGGATTCTGTCTGGCCAGTGTCAGCTTCTTCCTCATAATCCTAGTGGCATCATCTTGCCTGAGCGAAATGGGAAGAAGTTCATTTCTCCTGATAATGGAGCAATAACTTCTCTTTCTCTGAAAGACTTAGGTGTCCTGTGGCTGCTATCTCGGTGCGAGTCCATTCTTTAGAGAAAAAGTATCCTACATTGCATAGTTTTTATTTTAACATTTTGTTATAATCTAAAACTATATTTAACATACTACTTAAGAGAAGTAATACAGCATTAATTTCTGACACAACACATATAACATTAATTTCAATATTTGCGAAAAGCCAATCATAAAGTACGCATTTTTTACAATGTTTCGCTCTTCCCTTTCACCCGGCCCCTATATCCAAACCCACTGCCGCGTGATTACACAGTAAGTCAGGGGCTAACAAACCAATTCCCACGCCAAGCGCGCAATATACTAATATAACTTTCTAATTGCTTGCAGACCCTCCGACTTCCACGCTCCTTTCGATCACGAGCATTTACCACCCGGGGCCAAGCCACACTGGTGGCTCTAACACGGCCTCAAACGCTTCACACCAGCGGTGCCGCTACAGCCCCGACGCAAATTTCCCCACAGCGCCCCGGGGGCGGTGCCGCCATTACAGGGGCCCCGCCCCTGAGCAGGCCGGGGCGCTTGCGCCGTGCGCACAGCGCATGCGCGCGGGCGGTGCGGCGGAGGCGCGGGAGCGGCGCGCTCGCTCAGGGACCGGCCGGGCCGGGCCGGGCACCCCCGCCCTGCAGGGCAGCCCCGCCGCCGCTCCCGCCTCCTCCGCCTCTTCCTCCTCCTCGTCGCCGCCGCAGCAGCAGCAGCTGACGCTGCTCGTGATGCAGCCCGGCGGCGGCGAGGAGGCGGCGGCCGGGGCGGCGGGGGTGGTGCTGCAGCCGAGCGCCGACCCGCAGCTGCCGCCCTCCGCTAGCGGCGGCCTCATGGTGTTCTACGAGCTGGGGGCCCCCGGCGAGATCGAGGTGGGCGAGGAGGAGGTGGAGGTGGAGGCGGCGGGCGGCGAGAGCGCGGCCAGCCTGGAGGAGCTGGAGGAGGAGGAGGCGGCGGCGGCGCCGGGGGCTGCGGGCGGCGAGGCGGCGGCGGGCGGCGAGTGCAAGAGCTGCACGTACGAGGGCTGCAGCGAGACCACCACGCAGGTGGTGAAGCAGCGCAAGCCCTGGATGTGCAAGCGGCACCGCAACAAGATCTACAAGGACAAGTACAAGCGCAAGAAGAGCGACCAGGCCCTGGGGGGCGGCGGGGCGGCAGCCGCGGGGGGCGGCCCGCGGGCCGAGGTGAGGCGGGGGCGGCGGGGCCCGGCCCGGACACCCTCGGGTGCCGCTGGTCCCTCGGAGCTGGGGCTGCCTGGGGGCTGTAGGGATCTGTCAGACGGCCAGAGGAAAGGGCAGAAGTTCAGGGCCGTCCTGCAGCTCGCTCTTCTTCCTGTTTGCCGGAGCAAACTCCGTTTGTTTTCAGTTCTGGCGTAATTTGTGGAAGCTTACAGCTATACCAGGTTCCAGGAGAAAAAATATCGCTGGAAGATGCTTCACTTGCAGCGTGGCTTTTTTTCCTGTGGTAGGAAAGTATAGACTAAGAGATATGTCAGGCTTGTTTCTCAGCTGGTGCTGAAGTGTGGGTTTTAAAGTCACAAAGGCTTTGGGTATCAGGTGTACAAAAGTCAGTTGTGTAGGTTCTTCAGGATGCTTTTTGGTTTTTACTTTGATATTAAATGCAGGTAAATATTTCCACCACGGCTAGTTCATAATTAACTTGTATAAGCTAATGTGTATTGTTTAGATGGGGAAATACTATCAGTGGGAAAACTAATGGTAATGTACATTTTTTTAAATACTCTTTTTCCTACAGTTTGTGACTCAGCTAGGGCCCTTCTGTGATGGTCTCTTGTACAGAGTTAGTGTTTCAGATCTTGTATTTAGATGAAACAGAAAAAGGGAAATAGTTTTACACTGGAAGGTGCTGAGTTGTTTGTGCTCAAAGGGGTAGGTGTGAAATAGTGATTGTCAGAAGAAGAAAAAAATCTTACCCGGAGCTCCTGCTAAAAGCCACCCTTTTATGTCATCGCAGCTGTGTCCGGAGTAGTGTGAGTGGGAACTGATCTAACTGCAAACTGGCCACCAAAATCTTTTCCTGTTTCCATTTTTCTTCATGTAAATATAATAGTAACCATGCTGGGTGTCACACGAAAGAATCATCTTTGGTATGTCTGTAAAAGCCACGAGGCAGGTGCTTTTAAAAAGGGAAGTGTACATGTTGCTGCTAGGGAATGTTCTCTCATCTTCTCTTCCAGTTCAAAGGACTCGCTGAGGTTTTCCTGATGTATTCTGTAACTATAATTGATAAGTGTTGCATATAGTATTTTGGATTTTTGTTGAACCCTTGTAAGCTCTGTGGCTCTGTTACATTCTGGTGGTTTTTTCAGGTCTGCTACCTGGTGTGAATATTCACCTTGTTTTTGAATCTTGTTAGTGTCAAGCTAATTTGCCAGGTAGTGTTTACATTAGAACAGTTCCTCTTGTGTTTGTGATACTTAGTCTGAGTTTTTTTCCTTCTCACATTGAAAAGGCATGGCATGCTTGTTTCCAGTGAAAAAGTTACACACTATTATCATCCATGCTGTTTTGTGAGCCTTTTCTAATTCTAGTAGCTACTTCTCATTTCAATAAGAGAGCACACATTATTGAAAAGGAGAATGAATTCTAGATTTATATACCAGCATGACTTTCCCTCTTCTCTCTTCCTTCCCTGATAGTTCATCTTGCTCAATTCATGATGTGTCTACACAGATACTTGTGCTAGTTTAGGAAAGGGGACAGTATGGGAGAAGGGTAAAAATGCTGCATTTCATGTAGTGATGGGTTAAAACTTTTTGATCTGTAGCATGAAATAGTGATTATTGCATGTTGGAAGAGGGTGGGTTTTCTTTTCCCAGTTTGTGCAAGTGGAGATTGCTTTGAGTGTAAGGAAATTAGGGCCTGAAGTTGCAGGAACAAGCAGGGTATTTAGTGCTAAGCTTACTTTTTTACAGTGATGTTTATTGAGGCCATTTTCAGTAAAAGTTCCTACTAGAAGTTTCATTTTTCACTTCTGTGGAGTGGATAGAAGTGAAAGGTACTGGGATAGCTTTTTATTGTTCCTGCTTTTGAACTCTTTCAGGTAGATGGAAATATCAGTAAGTTTTGAATGTAATACACATAGGATTCAGCATTGGTTGAAATTTTCCAAACCTTTCATATTTTCTTTAGAGCAGATTGTAGAGCCACATTGTACTAGTATGTCTAATTCAGATGACTGTACAGGGAACAGAATAAACCTGGGGGGAAAAAAGAAGCCTGTGGCTTCGGTGCGTTCATCATAGTGTTCTGAAGTACATTTTGGTACTACAAGGATTATTGTCATTCCTGCCCAATTACAAATGGTAAATATCATTCATTTCCACAAGCTGGAGGCTGACCTGTTGTGAATTACTTCATTTTTAAGAAACGCAGTCAAATAAATTGAAGCCCTTAACTAGCCCTAGTAACCTGTTCAGTTTTGCACTATAGAAGACTAACTCTGAAGATGCATTGCTTCACCCTTGCTGGTGAAATAGTGAAAGGAGGTGGAAAGAAGAGGCCAGGTCTTGAATAGACAGATTTCCATTCCTGTGCTGTTACTTTGCTCTTCAGATTAAGGAGGCAAATGTTCTTTACTCTTGGGGTTTTCTGTGTATGACTGTATCAGAGTTCATTGTCTGACCTCCCTTGTTTTTTGTTTTTGTTTTCTGTTGTGTGCAGGATAGTGCTGAAGGTTCAGTGTCTGTCACAAAGCAGAGAACAGGATCCATTGGAGATCGCCCAGCAAGACCTACTCTTTTAGAACAAGTATTGAATAAGAAGAGGCTGGTAAGTCTTGTTTTTGAGAGGTTTTGAATTCAAATAAGTAAAGGCAATGTAACAGTGTTTACCTGCCACCATTGTGAAAAAAGAAAATCAGTTTAATAAGCATGCACTGCAAGTGCATAATTTCAAATTTGAAACATGCTTCAGAGATGTGTGCTTCAGTCTCTCTGTGAAGAATACTAAGATGACTGAATTTAATGATCTGAAGTTCTGGTAGTAACAGATGGGGTGGTTTCTTTAGGGTAAATAGTGCCTACAGTGTAACTGAGATGGTTTTAGCTTGTTCAAGCAAAGCCTTGGGTAGAACAATGAATGGACTTTATTGGTCTCATGTAAGGTTTACTGTGGTGTGTTTTAGAAATTGTAGATGTATCATATCAAACTTAAAGTTGTGTATATGTGTGTTGATAAAGCAAACTCTAAGCAAACAGTGTGATTTATAATATTTGCAGACTGCATGAATGGTGAGTCTTGTAAAGTTTTTTAAACGCTGGTTTCTCCTTTAACAAGTTAAGCCCAGTGTAGGGAAATTATTCAGTACCTACAGCTTCTTCACTGCAACTTTCTTTGTTGCATGTTTTTGCAGTCTCTATTCTTCAAAAGCTATGGGACTGTTTCTCTTCCTCTGTTACTTGTGCAATTAATGCAATTTAACAATCCTCATTATAGTGCTGTAGTGCTTGTTCAGAAATTTGGAAAGCTTTAAAACAAACATCATGTCAGTCTTAGGTATACAACTACCTAGATGTATTTCTTGATAATTCTTTCTCAATAATAGCGCTTTTTTAGTGATTGTGTCTAAAACTCAGAGGAGTATTCATAGCTCTTCAGTTTTCATGACACAAACAAGTAATGAACTATGAAGTAATTTTCATATATTCTCTTGTTCTTCATGCCCTCTTACTGGCTTGCTGTCCCCTTTCCTGGCTGTTTCTATAAACATGGCTTTTAATTAAATTTGAAAGGTATCTTATGAATTAAACATTATTTTTTTTATAGACGTACAGCAACCAGAAGCTCTTTTAATAGATTTTCAGAGCTTTTGCACTAATTATGTCAAGGCTCCTTAAGAACTCAGGATTCCTTCCAGTATTCCTGAAATTCAGATCCTCCTTGATCTGGTTCTTGCTTCTCTCTTTCTCCTCTGCCTTGCAGTTGCAGTACCTCTTTGGTTATATCACTGAAGTAACCATGCATAATGAGCAAGCATTTAAGGAATTCATTCAGCTGAAAAATAACCCTTTTCCTGTAATAATTTTTGGAAGGAATCAATTCCCAGCCTGATTTGCCATTTTACCTTACAATCACTTGTGCTGCCACCATGCAGGAATAAGAGTGAACAACTAGAGTTGGATTACAGTCTGCAGCTATTCAAGCCAGGAGCCAAATGCAAATACTTCTAGATACTTTGTCTTTTGTTTGAATGCTGAGGAGTTTTTTAAGTCATTCCCTATGGATGGACTTCTGTTTTGAAATGTTGGGAAATTCTGGACAATCAGTGAGAACCATAGACTATCTTGAATTGGATCATTGAGTCCAACTCCCTGCTCCTCACAGGACTGCCTAAAACTAAAATATGTGTTATGGGCATAGTCCTGATGCTTGAACTCTGACAGGCACATGAGCTTTGCTGCAGGATTACAATATTTTATTCATTTGTTAAACTAGTTTTGAGTGATCTGCAGTGAGAAATGTAGAAATTAGCTCAATTGAAGCACAGCTGTAGAACTGAAGCACAACTGAAAGATGTTTTGGTTATAGTATGTCAATAAATTACTCCTGTTTGCTATACTTACAGGGTTTTTATGATATTAAGCAACAGCAGTGGGTAATGTGTGAATTAGTGTAACGGAAAAATATTACTGTGGTAGCTATTTAACGTATGTGAGTTTTGTAAAATAAAGTTCACTTTCTCTCTCTTGCAGTCCCTACTCAGAAGCCCAGAAGTAGTGCAGTTTCTACAGAAACAACAGCAACTGTTAAGTCAACAAGCTTTGGAACAAAGGCAGCAACAGTTTCAAGGAGCACCTGGGTAATGAGGAAAGATCAATGATCTGCAGATGAGTCTGGTGCTGAAGGAGGGACAGGATCTGTATTTTGTATAAATACAAAGAATCTCAGTGTTTAAACAAAAATGGAAGTTGCTGTTGTTATGTATTTGTTTCCTGTTTGCACTTTTGAGGTTTTGAGCTGCTTGGGTGTCTGCAGACTTGTGAGCAAATCATAGAATGGTCTGGGTTGTGTTACGGAAAATTCCCAGTCTGACCATTCACAGGACTCTCTGACAGTCACTCTCCCAGTGCCAGAGACTTCAGCTTCTGGGACCAAAGCTCCTTCACTGCGGGTAGCTCCAGTGATCTGACAGGTGCCCCCCCCGACTCCCTGCACACCTGGCTTGCAGTCAGACCAGGTTTCCTTACTGGTTTGACCCCAGGTCTTGAGAACCTTGTTCCATAAAGCAATTTATTAACAGTGTAATAACACAGAAACAGCCTGGGCTGGTGCCTCCAAGGAGGGATCCCAGACAAAGGAACTCCTGGGCTTTTATACCATCACAGTGTAAGGCTCTTCCTCCTGAATCTTCCCTTCTGAGTCTTCCATTCCTGCCACGTCACTGTGTCCATTCACCTGGCTGGCCACTCGCCTTCATGCCTTTTGTTACACAAAGAGTTGGCAGTTCACTGCCTCCTGTCATTGCTCCTACCCAGAGCTCAATTTGCATCTCAGTCTGCATCTATAACTGCAGCTTATAAGTCAACTACCTGCACCAGATGTGTTCCTCAACAGTTGGAAGGGATCTTGAAAGGTCATCAAGTTCCAACTCCCCTGCTCTGGACAGGGATACCTTTCATAAGACCAGCTTACTCAGAGCTCTGTCCAGCCTGGCCTTGAACACTTCCCAGGGAGGGGGTATACATACCTAGATTCTCTGAGCAACCTGTTCCAGTGCCTGACGACCTTCACAGTAAAGAATTTCTTCCTAATATCTAATCTAAATCTACTCTTAGTGTGAACCCTTATTCCCTTACTCTGTCCCTACATGTCCTTCTAAAAAGTCCCTCTCACATCTTTCCTGTAGGCTCACTTCAAGTATTAGAAGGCTGCAATTAGGTCACCATGAAGCCACTGCTTTTCTAGGCTGGACAATCCCAATTCTCTCGGCCTTTCTTCATAGGAGAGGTCTTCCATCCCTCTAATCAGCTTGTGACCCATCTCTGGATTTGCTGTAACAGGTGGATGTCCTTCCTATGTTGTGGGTTCCAGAACTGGATGCAGTCCACCAGATGGCATTTTCACCAGAGCAGAGGGGCTGTGATGGGTTGACTTTGGCTGGACATACAAATTTATAAATTTTCATTAGTGCTGTCCCCTGTCCTTTCACAGATAGGTATTATTTTCCTATCTTAAGAGCATCCTCCACCCCTTCAGATGTCCAACAACTTACAACACAAATTGTTTTCCCCCCAGGGTCAAATCTCCATGGAGCACACACCGGTCTTCCCATCCTTCTACATTACTCACCAAGTACACCCAGGTATTTGAGCAAAGACAATCACATAAATGGGTTTGCTTGTTCCTGTAGGGAGAGAAATCCACCCCAGTTTTCCTAGTCACTTCCCATGTATAGTATGGGGACCTTATCTCCTCCCCCAGTGTGTAGGGGTTTTGTTTGGACAGTACCAGGGAGGTTTGCAGATCTGGTGTTAACCAGCCAAATGGCTTCTGTTAAATTTACATCCCAATCCTTCCATGCCTCATTACCTAACACTTAACACAGTCTTCAGCAGGCTATGTGATTCTGTTATACCACACAACCCCTTGTCTTATGGATGATAACGGCTGTGATGTCCACTCAATGCCATGTTTTTTTTTGCCCAAGAGTTTATTAGGTTGTTTTGAAAAGTAGTCCCATTGTCTGATTCAATTCTCGCTCGGTACCATGTTGCCACAAAATGTGTCTCTCAAGATCTGAGATGGTGTCTTGAGCAGTGGCAGTGGTTTACAGGGTATGTTGCCAGCCATCCAGTTGTTGCCATGGTGAGTATGTACATATGTTTGGTGTGTTTATGGCAATGGTCCAGTTTGCCAGGCCTCACCATACGGGAAACCCAGCTGCTGCTCTCTATTCCAGGGAAAGTTTACTTCAGTGGCTTGGTTGATTGCAGCACATGCTTCTCATTCATGAATGATCTGTGCAATGGCCTCCATGGTCAGGTCAGTCCCTCGTTGATGAGCACATCTGTTCGTTGCAGCTGATGTTTCATGACCCCATCAAGTTATAAATGGCTCACCCTTCCACTCCCAGTCCAAGTGTACCTAAGTTAATTCAGTTTTGGCAGCCTTATCTACCTGTTCTTCAGTGGAGTGGGTTTTGGGCATGTGAACATCTCCCTGATACACATTTCCAGTCAAGTTTTCAACCTGTGCACTGATGTCCTGCCCCAGTGCAGGTGCAGTGCAGCCCAGATGGGTTTATCTTTGCATTGCCAATTGGTCCTCTTCCATTTTTGCAGCCCCCTCCATAGGTCATTAGCCACCATCCAGGAGTCAGGATAGAGATAGAGGCAAGTCACTTTTCTCATTCAGCAGTCTTTCTGGCTAGTTCAGATGGCTTTGACCTCTGCAAACTGGCTTCACTTGCCTTCTCCTTCAGCAGCCTCAATGACTTGTTCACCTCTGATGGTTTCCTGCCACACAACAGGATCCATCACTAAATAGGGCATAGCCTCTTTCACCTTCTGATAACGGGTTGTGTGTGGGTGCTTCTTGTGCACAAGTCTTCTCTGCAATGCTCCAAAATCTTTGCCTTCTGGCTAGTCCATGATTTTTTCCAGAATTCCCAGTTGAGCTCATGTAATCAATGCTACCCTCTTACTCAATGTAGCACTGGCTGCGTGATCTGTTATGGGGATGTTTCCTTTGGCATCTGGAGAAGTCTTTTCCAATTATTCTTAAACCTTAATTTTAATATTTAATTTTTAATATTTAATTTGTTAATAAAAACTTGTTTATGGTAGCAGTGTTTAGCTGTACACCCATTTCTACCAAAATTATAATAAATTAACATTTTTCTATATAAACCTTTACAGTTAAGTCAGTCTTTGATGACAATCATTGATGGAAGTCAGTTACTTTCTGTGGGCATTGTGAAACAAAGTTCTGAAGCTGAGTCAGTCCAGTGGCATTAGCTAACAGCAATTGCTCAGGGATATGAGAGATTTTTGTCCTGTAGAATCTTTCACTAAAGGCAAAGACAACATGCCATCAAGAAGTCAATCCAGCAGTTCAGAAAAGTACAAGTAGGTGATCACTATTACCTGCAAGTTAAGTAGGTTTGAAATGCTACATTGTGCATAGCATGTAAAAGAATTTGCACTTAAAAGTTCCTAAAGTGATAAATGGCAAAAAACTTTAAAAAGTATCAGGTGAAAAGTATGAAACTGAGAGTTGGACCTTGTTACATGGAGTTATTTGAAATTACTAACTTCTTATATGTGAAATATAACTTAATTACAGTTTAGAATACCACTAATTTTTAAGTGACTAAATTAAATTATAAAGTTTTTAACTCAAAATAGTAAATAATTAAAAATCTAGTCTCTTTCTTCTCAAAAAGGTATAGTTAAAATTCTTTTATTAAGACAACAGATCTCTAATCAGCTGCAGTGCTTGACTTCACAGGTTTTCAACCAATTAAAATGAACTTGCAATTTATTGGGTTAAGAATCCAAACACTATATTATGTAAATGTTAAATCCAGTGTTTTATTTATAAAAATCGTTTTGTATTAAGCCACATTTCTGAATAGAGGTTATCCAAATGGGTTAGGTGCTTATTATCAAGTACTACTTTTATATTGCAGCAGTTTGATCCACTAAATAATATCTCTTCAGCAGTATTTGTTAGTCCTGTGGATTTTTACATGTTCTGCTTTTTGTATTTATACAACTTGTTCTGTGGGGATTTATTGTGTTTAGCATTGTGCAAATTGTTCTTTAAAAAAGAACTTGAAAAACTTTGTATAAACAGTTCTGGACCAATAAGTGAGTAAAATCTTTGGTTTTTCTTTAAAAAAAATTCTGTTCTTTTTTCTTTTGTTAAATTTGTATGGGTTTTTCTTCCTGTGCTAAAACAGCCAGCTCTGACTAGAAGGAAATTTTGTGTTTCAAGGTCTTGTTATAGAAAATTAATTTAAATTAAGCAAAAATAGGTTACTTTTCAGTGAATAAGAATATATGTGAAAACATAATTGGCAAAAATTGTAGAATAATATACTTGATTTTGTTTTAAATGGTCAACTTTTAAAAGGTGAACAGATCATTTAGGTGGACAAATCTGATTAAACTTCTTTAAAACCAAATCCCTCAGGGCAGAAAATTGGCACAGGGAGTGTTTGTTAAGACAGTGCTGAACAAGTTGTCTATGTCAAAATAAATGTCATGTGCTGAAGCTCTGTATAGAGAAGTACAGTCGAGTGCATCTCACCTATCCTGTATTTTTGATAGTCTGTGAGAGCAGCACCATCAGGCCGGTGTGGACACTGGGAGATGTGCTGGTAGCTGTGCTCTCCTGTTTGGGCAGAAGATTGGATGGGATTCCCAAGCCAGCACTGTCTGTGTAGCTCTGAGGCCCATTATGTTGTCTACTTCCTTCTATTATCGCAGAACAAAATCTGAATTTTAGGAAGATGGAAACACAACACTTACCTAAGAGTACATTCTTATTATATCTCTCATTGTCCTTGAGCAGTTGAAGAACTGTGCAGCTGCAAGTCTGTCTTTCCACTTATGTCAATCTGGTCCAGAGGAAAGGTGTCACAGGGCAGCATCATTGTTCATTGACTGCCTGTCAGATCGGAGCTGTCCCCATCCAAAGAAAACTGAACCATCCTCTTGAATCATCAAATCTACCACAGGACAGTGAGGGATTCATATACATGGAGATTTTATGCTGAATTAATTTTCAATACCTTTTCTTGTGTCAAGCATCCCATTACTCATTTAGTGCAATGAGATACACTAAGTGAGTAATGGGATGCTTCCTTTTAGGGATGCCTAAGACTGATTTGTATGATAAAGGCTTTCTAAATGCTCCAGTTCCCAAAGTCACTTGTGGTCATACTGGGACCTACAGCCAATCTCTTTAAAAGAGAAGAA